TACTGTATTTCTATTTATAATATATGCAATCTATTTTGCCTGGCCAGTGATGTCAGAGGACGTAACCACCTACAGCTGTTGGAGGGCTGTATCTGTGTTCACGCAAAAGGAAAAATTCAGGGTGGTATGGGTACCATGACTGAGAAACCAAGATGATTTAACAGACATTAGAAACAGGAGTGTTAAGATCAGCTGGGGGAGAAAATGGTTATTTCAAGACTTGTTAGACTAGGAAATCGTCTATCAAGGGAAATTTTCCATTTCTAAAAACACTCAGGCCCTTATTCAGGAAAATAGTTAAGTGCATACTTAATTTTAAGCACCTATAGGGTCCCATTGAACTCAATGGGACTAATCTGTGCTTAAAGCTAGTTGGTCATTTAAGCAGCTTTCTGGATAGGGATATTTCAGTTTTCCTGTAAGAATATACTATATAAAATAAGCCTGTGGTGACAGAATGAACTAGCTGATAGGAAGGGATGGATTAGCTGATTTAATGAGTGCGTCCAATCTCTAATTTTTCTGACAGTATAAAATTGTTCCTGGGCATAAATTACATACATATGTGTCACAGAGTTCCCCTTTATTTTTAAATCACATGGTAGAGCTGGTTCCCATCTCAGATTTCTTAGGACAGGCATGTTCTCAGAAATGACTGTGATTTGTTTTTATTACCAAGATCCACTTGGTATACGCAAGTCCAAATACTGTCCTAAACTGCATTTAATTAAACGTTCTTGCCTTCAGTGATGCTTCACACACACATGGGGAAGATAAAACCTGCTGAGCAACTTAAGTCAACATTTTCACAATTTCCAGCACACATCTTCCATCAAATGAAAAAATAATTTACCCTTTTCTTCCATCTGTAAAATGCTTTTCAGGCAATATCCTATGGCTATGTTTGTCTGAGAAAGATTTTAATTCTCTTTTGACATCTTTAATTTCATCCCAAGGAGACAGGAACAAGTAAGGGGCCACACATTCATTTTGCATTGTCTGACTCCAACGTCACCAATGAAGATGAGCCAAAGAAACCTGTGAGGATATTATCACATTTCTTACCTGTTGACTTATGCTTTTTTTTTTTTTTTCTTTTTGCCTGTGTGCAGTCAGCTCCCAGGCTCAGTTTATGTTTTGGCTCGTGGAGCCAAATGAGATGCATGACTTGGCTTTAATTCCCAGCTTTCATGCTTGCCAAGGTCTGCCAGGTACTCACTTTATTCTAAAGAAACATGTAATCTGATAAATTAAATAAATGTAACATTTAGAAGTCAAGATGATGTACACCATTTGCACTATACCAGCAACTACCGTACATCTTAAATCCTGGACCTCAGCGGTGACTTTGATTTGTTAACTTCTCTGTGAAATACCACCTGGAACAAATATTCCCCAAAAGATGGACTGTGGCTCTTAAGTTACAAATGGGTGGGACCTGACTAAAATTTTGTCATCTCTCTCAAGAATAATGGGAACTAATTAATGTGAAAGACTGCTGTTACTTGTAGCAGGGTAAAAATAAAGAGAAGGGATACCTAGGTCTTAATATTGTCTTTGCCACTAACTAGTGATGGGACAATTTCCCCATGTACTAAACACAAAGTTACTTAAATTAACCTACAGGAAATACTCAGAAGCAAATTTTTTTTTCAAACTCTGCTCTTCGAGGACTTAAGGAATCTGTGCTGAAATACACGTTGGCTTTAGCACTCAGCTGTTGGAGCAGGGCACTTCCCTGTCAGATAAGACTTCTTTGGCCACCACATGACATCTTTTACCTTGACAACGTGGAGTTTGGGCAGAAGGTTGCAGTCAGCAAGAGTAAGGTCATCTCCATCCAGAAACTTGCGTCTAGACACTTTCTCCTCTTCAGTGCTGTCTGCATCAATCTCCTCAGGCAGAGGGGTTCTCAGGTAGTCGTCCAGCTTCTTCAGAGCCTTCACCAAGCCTCTTTCGAGGGCTTTGCCAAAAAGAAATTAAGTGATTAGGGCAGACCAATAATTATTTACAAACACTCACTGTCAATGGCGATGGTAGTATCAAAAAAAAAAAAAAAAAAAAAAAAAAGCCAAGAACCATTTCTTTGTTGTTAATTTGTGCCTACACAACCTGATGACCAAGTAGCCCAGCGATGTCTGCCTGAGGGTAAAGCTGATCCTGCAATGGAAAAAGGGGACCCAGGAAACTGTTGTGCCATGTCTTCTCATAGATAGCACAAAATAAAAAAATAAAAAAATAAAAAAAAAACCCCAAACCAACAGTGAAAGAGATCATGGAAGGAAAGAACGGCTTGTCAGTAGGATATACCAATAACACACATACAGCCTATGATATGCTTCTGGCCTGTTGAGGCCATCGTACGATAAATCAGAGATCTGTAAGCCACGACATTCTTCTTTTAAGCACCCAGGTAGGACTGTAACACAGGGGAATTTCCTAGCAATACTTCAGCTCTAAAAAAGTTGTAGTTTTCCTACTTTTAAACACCTTCCAGAGTAATTAAAGACAACAGCAATAATTCCAGAGATGTTCACTAGAGCTCTACGGAGCTGGAAGATACACTACACCACACCTGAAATGAAAGCAAGATAACAATAATTAAATGCAATGCTACATAGAAGAGATGAGACATGCCCCTCACTTAAGGTTCAACTTCTAGTTGCAAATTCTCTTTTTGCTATGTCTCAAAACAGGTATTACAAAGGAGAAGAGACTTTGGACCTCTCACTTCAGTTACTAGAGACCATGTCCCACACTGCTGCTGGTTCCAACAAATTCTAGGCTTAAAATGCCACTTAGGCGTATTATACAGCAGAGTGTAGATTTTTTTTTACATAAAAATATCAACTGGGGTGGAGAATTTGTGTTCTTACGCATTACCAGCAGGATATTAGAAAAACTTGATTGCAATAATGCACTCGGAGAAAGCTGAGTGCCTGTACGCGGGTTTGCATGTGCGTTAAACTGCAAACACTCTGAGGCAAGAAGGGTCTCTTGCATCTCTGTTCGAAGGGTGACAAGCACGATGGGATTCTGGCCCCTGACAAGTGCCCCAAAGTGCTAAAGCAATATGAATAAGAAACAGCAAGAATTTACAATGTGAAAAAATAACAACATGACTCATGGGCTTAGGGCCAGAATTTCAGCTGGTGAAAATTACCTGCAGTGATTTATACCTGCTGCAGATCTGGCCTGGAGTCAGCATTTAATCCTGTAAAATCTTATATCTCTGAGTAACCTACTGCCTTTTAACTTAGGGGAGACTACTCAATGCATCAAGTTACTCAGGTGGTGTAGCACTACAAGGTCTATGGAGATAAATATATTTACAGAGAACAGTGCGTGCTCCAAAAGCCTGCAGCGATCGCCCCGCACGGAGCAGCTTGCTGGCACAGGTAGCTCTGCTGGCTCTGCCGTCAGCCGCCCCTGTGTTTTTGGCACCGAGAGAAAGGCAGCATGTCCAGGGCCATGGAGAGAGCAGGAGCTGAACACCACAGAACATGATTTCTCTGCTGCCCTAACATCCGTTAAACTTTGTGCTGGTGGTGGGAGTCATCAGATGAAGCCGCTTGATGCCTTCCTCCCACTGAAGCCTCTTGGCCAAGCACCAGGGAACCACAGCAGCTCTTTTCTGGCTGACTCTGAGACACAGTGGCAAATCCTGGCTTAATTGATTGACTGGGGAAATGACTGCAATCCAACTGAAAACACCCCAACAAACATAGCAGGGAGGGAAGGAATTTTATTTCTGAAAGCAGAGCATCTAAAGCGACTGAAGTGTTGCCATCCATAAAACAAAAGTGTTGCCATCCCTTATTTAATCAATTCAAATTGAATTTTGACACTGACATTCTGCTGTCAGATGCTGGCAGTGGTGTCTCTAATCGTCTGCAGCTGTGCTCCCCCACACAACTTCTACTGAAGGGTAGTAACTGCATAGCATGGAATATACCCCCATGTGGCAACACTCAAAAGCTTTAGCAATCTCTTTTTGGTTTGACCCATAACACCTGTTGAATAGAGGGTACTCCTTCTCTTGGTCAGCCTCAGACACTGTCCTCTTACAATGAATTCATTTAGAGACAATGGAATCGAATTACTGTGAATTAATTCAATTTTGTGTATTCAGATTTTCGAGAACTGGCTTAACACCGAGCATTTTCCAGTAACCCCTTCACTCAGTAGGACTGTCGGTTCTCAGAGCCATCTGTGCAATATTTCCAGTATCAGTATGACATTAGATTCCTTGTGCTGGCCCATGGGGTGAGTTAGGTGTGCGGACAAAGACACGAGCATCAGGTGGGATGTGCTTATGTAACTTTTCTGGAACTTATTAGAGTTGGGTTTGGTTTTTTTTTTGCTCTTATTGATATATCAAAGTGCGTCATGGCTGTCTCAAAAACAATGCCTGGAGTGAAGCCTACTTGTGACAGTGGGAAAAACATCTATCTGAATTCATACTTGGCGCTTGCATACAACAGCTTTAGGCCAGAAATAAGCGTACGTTCAGGGTTCAACACGTCTGTGACCTAATTCACAGGCTCTGCTGGAGCCCACAGGATCCTGAGATCTCCCAGTGAAATCACCACAAGTTCAGGGCCATCACATGTCCTGATAATCAAGAACTGGACCACTACTTGTGGTAGACTCCAATGACCCCATTTAATGAATGAAAACTCTTCTGATCCTACTAATTCTCTCAAAACAGCCATGAAACCAGAAGAGTAGTAAACAAAGGAGACTGCCTTTCTCCCAACTGAACAGTGACGGAATTTTGAAAAGTTAAGAGAATTAAGATCCTAAAACTGACATTTCAGTTGGAGTTTAGGTGCGCTGGGTAAGATTTTTAAAGCCTGTCAATGTTGCTAAAGACTTTATTTTAAAAAATCCATCTGCAAATACCCATGCTGCAAATCCTAATTTCTATGTGCCCTGACACTTTCAGATTTATCTGTATGATTTGCAGTCTTAGGTTCCTTGAGAAGGTGCTCAGGGAAATCCCCACTCAAAGTAGGAGGATGTGTGAAAAAAACTCCAAAATATTGAAGCAAGAGGCTTCTAAGCCCCACATCTTGGAGGAAGCCAAGCGTCTAATGCTGGCATGGGTGGGAGAACCCACCTTATGTTTTAATTCACCAGTAACACCCCACAAGAGAGAGATATCAAAAGCAGCTCAGGTTTGTTTTTTTTTCTTACAAAAAAAATCTTGGGGAAGTACTGTCATTTTACCAGTGGTATAAGGAGAGCATTTTCCTGGAAACTGGAAGACTGAATTTCAAAGGCCTTTCCAATGTGATGTCAGCCCAGATCTGCCAGATGAGACTCCACCAGTGCAGTATCAGGTGATTTGTATGGGTCTCCTGCTGAAACACTTTCTGTAAATAACTCACCATTCAGTGGATCACAACTGAGGGCTGACACCACGGCTTAAAGTCAGAAAAACTAACTTTCTTACTTTCTCTCTTGTCTGGTTGATGTTTAAACATTATGTGGAAGGTGAAAAAGCATGAACAGAGACCAAGAAATAACCTTCTCTGAATATTCTACAGCTATAAAGGTTTTGGGACTCTTGCTGAGGAAAGATCTGGCTGGGTTCATATTACTGAGCGAACCCAGCAGAAGAAAGATTTAATTTTAAACCTCCCATACTCTGGCTATTTTGTGAAAATCTGGATGACTCCATACATTGTCTCCACTGAGAACACAGGGGACAGCAAGGACTCACCAGAGCAGGGGTCTTGTGAATACCAGTCACAGCACCAGACTGAATGAAGACACTTAAAAAGATGTGACTAACTAAAAAGTGACTAATTCCCCATTTATGAACCCACAATTAATTTCAGAAGTGGCTAAGCAGCTAATTCCCTTGGCAACTTATCCTCTTGGAAACATCATTAAATAACTAAACAAGTTTGCTGATAACAGCTGAGGCTCCATTGTAAGTCAATCGATGGGATTAATCTTCCCAGAAGTGAATAAATTAAATGAGTAGGGTTCAATTAAACACCCTGAGCTTCTTCTGTAGTCAGTAGAGTCTTCTCTTCTGCACTTGGGGTTAGGTGACCCCTAAATCAGTTGTGTGGAGAGCTTGTCCCGAAGTGTCTAATCTCAGCTTTGCATTGTCTTGGTAATGTCAGGGTGGAGGATCCGATATTACAACACCAAGTGGCACTGTGCCTGAGAGTGTGGCTCTACACTGCTTCTGAAACTTCTACCTCCAATTGCTTCCCCACCCTGCAGACTTTCGGTATGAACTTAGAGATCCCAAATGTGACCAGCTCTGCGAGAGGAGCCCTGTCATCAGAGCACCCTTGCAACAACTGCAATATCTAAACTCGTGGAAACCATCTTTCTGGACAGTAAAATCACCAAGCACAAAGGCACCAGCAGTGATGCATTTAACGTAACTTCAAATTCCAAGAAGTTCTACCTGTGTATACACAAAATCCATGGTGGAACCATCTCTCTCACCCTTCACTACTCCCTTCTGGGCTACTTATGCAGCCAAAGACAATTTATAACAATCACAGTCCTGCCGTGTCATCCCACCAATAGTAAACAACGATATTAATGAAAAAAACCCTCACAAGCGCTTTGTGATTTTCCTTCTCCCTTCAAAACTATGCTTTTATACAACTTTGCTTAAGAATCCTGAGTTAGAAGCCAGAAAAATAGCACTTTCCAACCTCAAAGCAACCACAGAACATTTAATGAATGTATTACCATCTGTCAAATGCAGAGGGTGAGGTTCAATTTAGCTGATGATACCTAATTCACAATGACGCTCTGTTTTCAGCAAAAGGTTACTTGATGTTGAACAATGAGATTAACAAATCCTGACACGCACAGAAATACAAATAATGTAACAAAAGTTAATAATTGGCAAAATTGTGCTCTCAGTTACACTGACATAAAAGAGGAGTAACTTTGTATTGTCAACAAGCTATTCCATATTTACTC